GCCCGGCCCCCCAGCCCGCGGCAGGGCTGGTGAGTCACAGAATCGTAGAATCGTGTGTTAGGAAAAGACCTTTAAGATCATCGAGTGCAACCACTAAACCATGCCCCTAAGCACCTTGTCTGCCCGTCTTCTGAGTACCCCCAGCAATGGGGACTCGGCCACTTCCCTGGGCAGCCCATTCCAGTGCTCAACAACCCTTTCAGTGAAGAAATTATTCCTAATTCCCAATCTAAACCTACCCTGGCACAACTTGAGGCCATTTCCCCTCCTCCTATCGCCCATTCCCAGGGAGAAGAGGCCGACCCCCACCTCACTACAGCCTCCTGTCAGGGAGTTGCAGAGGGCAATCAGGTCTCCCCTCAGCCTCCTCTTCTCCAGGCTAAACAACCCCAGTTCCCTCAGCCGCTCCTTGTAAGACTTCTGCTCCAGACCCCTCACCAGCTTTGTTGCTTTTCTCTGGACACACTCCAGTGCCTCAGTGTCCTTCTGGTAGTGAGGGGCCCAAAACTGAACACTGTATTTGAAGTGCAGCCTCACCAGTGCCAAGTGCAGGGGCATGGTCACTTCCCTACTCCCGCTGGCCACACTATTCCTGACACAAGCCAGGATGCCGTTGGCCTTCTTGGCCACCTGGGCACACTGCTGGCTCATATTCAGCCAGCTGTCAACTGGTACCTCCAGGTCCTTTTCTGCCAGGCAGCTTTCCAGCCACTCTTCCCCAAGCCTGTAGTGTTGCATGGGGTTGTTGTGACCCAAGCGCAGGACCTGGTACTTGGCCTTGTTGAACCTCATGCAGTTGGCCTCGGCCCATCGACCCAGCCTGTCCAGGTCCCTCTGCAAAGTCCTCCTTCCCTCAAGCAGATCAACACTCCTGCCCAAGTTGTTGTCATCTGCAAACTTGCTGAGGATGCACTCAATCCCCTCGTCCAAATCATTGATAAAGACACTAAACAGACCTGGCCCCAAGATTGAGCCCTGGGAACACCACTTGTGACCAGCTGCCAGCTGGATTTAACTCCATTCACTACTACCCTTTTGGGCTTGGCCATCTAGCCTGTTTTTTACCCAGCAAAAAGTACACCTGTCTGAGCCATGGGCAGCCAGTTTCTCCAGCAGAATGCTGTGGGAAATGACATCAAAGGCTTTAATAAAGTCTAGGTGTACAACATCCATGCTTTTCCCTCATCCACTAAGCGGGTTGCTTTGTGATAGAAGGAGTTCAGGTTGGTCAAACAGGACCTGCCTTTCATAAACCCATGCTGACTGGGCCTGATCACCTGGTTATCCTGTACGTGCCGCATGATGGCACTCAAGCTGATCTGCTCCATGACCTGCCCCAGCACTAAGGTCAGCCTGACAGGCCTGTAGTTCCCCGGATTCTCCTTCCATCCCTTCTTGTAGATGGGAATCACCTTTGCCAAGCTCCAGTCAAGTGGAACTTCCCCAGTCATCCAGGACTGCTGACAGATGATGGAAAGGGGCTTGGTGAGCATCTCTGCCAGCTCCCTCAGTATCCTTGGGTAGACCCTGTCCGGCCCCATAGACTTATGTGTGTCTAATTGGCTGAGCAGGTCACTGACAATTTCCTTTTGGAACATGGGAGCTTTGTTCTGTCTTCTGGCTCAAGGGGCTGGGTACCCAGAGAAGACCTGACCTTATTATTAAAGACTGAGGCAAAGAAAGCATGAAGTACCCATATCCTCAGGGAAAGGATGGGGATTTTGATCCATCATTCAAACTGTCATGGGGCAATATTAATAATTGTCCCCAGACATGCTTTTTTTTTTTTTCTTTTTTTTTTTAGTTTTGGTGGCTTTCTAGTGCTACTCCCTACTCACCCCAGCCTCAGACAGTATTTTGATCAGGTTTTAAGCTCTCCCTTGTGCCCAGAAAACATGGGAAGGAGAGGGAGGGGGAAAAAGAGAGGGAGACAGAGAAGACAAGCTGAAATTGCTGAGATGTGCCAATGCAGATGCTGCAGGTGGAGGGGTGCGAGAGTGCTAATGTCCAGAGTGCAGTGCCCCTGTGCTGGCAGAGGTGTTAGGCGAGATGTGGAATAGTAATTTCAGGGTCAGAGGACAGAAGACACAAGAATTACTCACTGAAATATGCGAACTCAGAAAGCCCTGAGCCACCTAATATTATTTTGAAGTTGTCTCTGCTTCGAGTGGACATTGGACTACATGACTAGCGGAGGAGGTCTGTTGCAGTCTAAATTATTATGTTATTCTGTAATTTTGCTCTATGTCTGCATTTTAAAACAACAAAATTCTTCTTTGGTGATGAATGGTCTTTTGGGAATCATTTTACCAGCATTAGCCTCATAAAACTGACTTGTTACTTGTCTAAAGTACTGACACATCTGTCCGCAGCATGGGCACATTTCAAATGTTATTGGGTTTATCTCCCTTCCTTGGAATTACAGGAGGTTTTCTGGCAGCTTTGGAAAAGAAAAGAAAGACTACACTGCAGGGTCTGGCTGTCAAATTAGGTCTTTGTACATTGACTGCATTCTTAAACTATATTTTACGAAGTAGAGAAGCCTATTTGCTGATCACAAAACTGACCCCATGCAGGGCAGAAATGAAATGTTTTAGATTTGAGGGAGAAGGACACAGTGGATATTTCCCGGCTTTGTAGAGTTCGTAGCAGCAGTGCTATTCCATACAAGCAGAAAGAAGATCTACAGATTTCCAGAAAGACAGCAAGTGCGTATTCCAAGAACACTTAGAGTAATAGTTGAATTTCCAAAGAAAAACAGAAGGTCAGCTGATGCCTTCTGTTAGCACAAGCAGCATGTAGAGGAAAGTCTTAGTCAGCTTTTGAAATCAGTGGACTTGAGAGCACAAACTGGGGTGACATTGTTTCCCTCCCCTCCCTGCTGGAGAAGTGATTATGCTGGTGATTTCGTCCCCTGGCAGGGGTTCAGGGTTACACATGTTTTTTTGAAGGTGCAGTGACCTAACAGCTATCAGTGCAAGCAAATGAGATTGAATGGTGACAGAGCTGGGCCATGGTGCACAGGTCAGGATGCCTTGCTCAGTCCCGCTGTCATCCCCCATGCCTGCAGTGGGTATGGGGTTTGCTGCTTCCCCCCATTTCACAGGCATGATTTGGAATAGCTGCATATGCTTAGGTTTATAGACACATCAGAAAACGGCACTCTTGTGCTTATTCTGCATAACTGAGATATACGGGGTGGGGAGAGGGAAAAGAAATCCCTAGAGGAAGACCATGTCTGTAGCTGTCTGCAGCATTACGCAGCCGTGGCACTCCCTGCTCACTAAAAGCACATTTGCCCGTCGGTAGTTTCCATATTATAAATGCTTAGGAAGAAAAGGATGAGCTTTGCAGAGATTCCTGTGATTTGGGGCACAGCAGGTGCCCAGATGTGAGGCCACACTAAGTATCAAGGCAGGACCACACTGGATCTCTCAGACCCGCTGGCTCTGTCCCCTCTCCAGCAGCCAGCTTTTCCTTGGGGTAACACGGCTCCCACAGTATCCCCCTGTTTGCCCCCCAGGGCAGAACACCCCCCTGAGAAGGGGTCGGGGAAGGAGCTGGCACGAGATGGCAGCCGGTACCTGGTTCCCAGCAGCAGCAGTGGCACCGGGCCCGCTGCCACACAGGTCATGGTTCTGCATCCTCTGTGTGCTGCTGAACTGAAAGCTTGAGAAGAAACAAAACTACTGAATTAAAAAAAAGAAATCCCCTCATAAGCAATATAAAGAAAAGGATTTGCATTCCCCCATGCCTTCTAATATAACCATGAAGCGGAGCAATTTTGAGTATTTATACTCTTATTCTCCAGGCACCTGCTGAATATTTATTACAGTAACGTCTCTTGCGCCTTTCTGTCTGTTCATAAACAGCTCAATACCAGTGATTTGAGCATTCATCGCTTTAAACTGAAGCCAGTAGTTACTGAAAGAAAGTGCTTATTCCGCACAAATTCCTCACATCTTCCTCAGAAAAGGTGATTAAGGGACAACTGTAACTCAGGGGCTCTAGAATATGATAATCATGCCTTGCCTTTGGGAATGAGCCACAATTAATTACCTGCCTTGGAGTGATTTGATTGTTGCTGGCAGGTTTCAGACAAGCCAGCTCTCAGGTGCAGATCTCCTTTTCCTTGTAAGGGGGGAAGCATCTGCGAAGTCGAACACAGCGTTTCCCAGCTGGGGGTCCTGGAGCTCTGCCGGTCTGTAAGGCATCAGCAAGTGCTCTTCAAGTTAAGAACAAGGACTTTACATGTTTCCGTGTAGGCAAGAAAGAAACCAAATGAGCGGATATAAAAAATAGAGCTGAAGCTTTTTTTTTGTTTGTTTTTTCATTGGAAGTGAGAACTGCACAAAAAGGTCGATTTTTTTTTCCCCCCAAAAAAGTGGCAGTTGGCTTTGATAGAAAAATAACTTTATGCTCACTCCTTTGCTTGGGCTTCACAGTTTTGTAAACATGCATCAAGTCCTCAGTCAGATCTGTGGGATGCCGATGAAGACACCCAGACCATGGAGTGTGTACTTAGAGCTGAAATTGAGCTGGCTACCTGCCCTGAGTTCCCACAGATTCCTGGGGACGCAGCACCTGAATCCTGGAGCCTCCCCTGCTCTGGTTCCTGCCAGCACAGCTCCCACAGGATGCTCATTCCTGTCACTCCTTCAGAGCTGTGACCTGCATTAGAGCAGGGTCTGTAATCAGACAAATTCTTCTTCGTCCATCCTGGCAGAATTTGTCTTCTCAGAATGCATTTGGTTTTTCTTTTGGGGTTGTTCTACTGGGTTTGCTTTTGTTTTATTTTCACATGGCATGGTGGGACGATTAGGGTAGGAGACGAGGCCAGTGGATCCACACTGAGATTATGAATCACAGTTTCTTGTCTTAATTTCCTCAGGATGTGAGGTTTGTGAGATCATGCCGTTGCTTTCTCCCTGTTCGGCTCCCCCTGGGTCCAGTTTGAATCAAGCTGGACAGGAGGATAGATGTATCATATAATATGAAATGTTAGCATGTGTTGAGTGAAAATAGCTGGAGAAGCTTGATTTCTTATGGAGGGAAAAACCAAGGAGGTCCTGCCTTCTCATTCACTGGAGAACATAGCCCAGTGGCTGGGATTGAGAAGGAGCTGCTGGATACTGGAACACACTGGTTCTGCTGCTCACACAGGCATTGAGTTGGGTCAGCAGTGGGGAGACACAAACCAGACCACCTCTGGTCACTTGCTGGCAGGACACTGGTCTGAGCACTGAGTCCTGGTCTCTGCTGCGGGTCATGGATGTAGGGCAGTAGGGATTTAGAGGAAGGTCTGGTCCCACTGCTTGAACAGGGATGGCCAATGGCTGGACCAGTAATGCCTTCAGCATCTTGTGGGAGACACCACTGGACCCTCGCAAAGTAGCTGGATGGTGTAGTCCTGGCCCAGCCACCCCACCGCAGATGTGGTCCATGGTGGTGACACGGCGCATGGGTTGGCTGTACCCATTTTTCTTAACAGTGGGATGGAGGCAAGTGGTGGGAGAGTGGCTCCTGTGCTCCAGAGGGGCTCATCCAGTGGGATGTGGTGTGTGCTATTGCAGAAACAGAAATAGTGCACCAAGCTCTTAATACTATCACCATGTTCAGAAAAATGGGATAGGTTTTAAATATGATGTTCCTCTTCTTTTTCATCAAGCTGGGTGCAGTGCTGAGCCAGATGGGTGCAGTCTGTATTGACAAGGCCACTCGCTTTCTAAGAAGGAGTTTTGTTCATCTATCCATCTGCTTCGTATCCACGCAACAGTGAAATGGAGCAGCTTTTGCATATTTATACCCTTGTTCAGCCTGCAGCGCTATGAGAACCAAATGACACGATCTCAGGGAAGTTTTCCCACTTAGAAACACTCCAGCAACCACAGCAGAATAAATGTGAAATTAATGTTATCATTTAATTATTTTTAATCAATACTAGAGCTTGGCAAATTCTCCAAAGAAGTATTCATCAGTGTTAGCTCAAACAAAAATTGTGCTTTTGCTTGGGTATTCACTCTCATTTTTAATGCTGTTCTGAGAATGTGCACACAAATGATTTGTGCTCAGCTGAATGCAAGTATGGTACGGAGAGGCTGTTCTTCAGAGGGGAGGTGGCCTTGTGATTAAAGTGCTGTGTCTCAGGACCTCAGGGACAGGTACTTAGTGCTGTTGAAAACTTTCTTTGTGGCCTTGAGCAAGTCATTTAGGGGAAGTGTTTTAGAGCATGTACTGGATCAGGCACTTGGCCATCAGTTTGAATTTGGGTGCTGGATCCTACTTTGTGCCTTTTAAAAATTTTGCCCTATATATGTATCTAAATAGCTTCAATTCCCCTTGTGCAGAATTTGGGTAATCATATTTCCTTCTTGTCATCTGTAATTTGCCTTGTCTACTTACACCATAGATTGTTGCAGGCAGGAACTTTCTCTACCTGTGTGCTTCTGGGGCTTACAGAGCAACTCTGAGACTTTGGGAGCCACTGCTGCAGAAATTGATCCATGCAGTGTGAAAAACCTTACCAAGGTTCCTGAAATGGCCATCGTCCAACTACTTTGATTTCCTTCCAGCCGTGTGTCATGCTGGGCAGGGAGCAGAGAGCATGGGAGCGTGCCCTGCCAGATCCATGTTGGCTCCTCCTGGGCTGCAGCATCTCAGGCACCATCTCCAGGGTATGAATGGAAGGTCTGAAATCCTGGAGGTCAAGAAAGATCAAAGCACCTGGCACAGCTTTTTTTTTTACGTCACTTAGATACAGCAGCAGCTCACACACCGTATTGAAGAGGAAAGTACAAGACCAGGCTTAAGACAGGACAGGCTTTGGCCAGGTGAGAGCGACTGTGAACAGCTCACTAGTAGCGCAGAGATAGCCAGGGATGGTCTTGGGGCTTTTGAACAATTCCCATTAAGCAACAGATTAAAATGGCTTCTGTGGGTAGTATCTAGCCACAGGAAAGGGCTGTCACAACCTGCTAAAATATTGACTACTGATCTCTGCTCTGTAAATGAACACCACGGCTAATGGGATAACGTCTTTTCTTCATACGTACAACACACCGTCGTATATGACCAAGACATATGTCCATATACATCTTAAAAAGAGGTTGTGTTGGACAGAGGCAAAGTGAACACAGTGTGTAGAGGCAGAAATGGCATATTTTTTTGAAACTTCTGTGTTCCTCAAAAAAATTCCAGAATTATCTCCCAATTCAAACAAAATCTGTAACCTCTCCTTTTCTCTCCAGATTCAAAGGCCAGTGCAAGTCAAGGCTGAATTGAAGTGTAAGGGTTTCCCCCAGCAATACACTTTCAAGACCAGGTCTACTGTGCCATGAAGGACGGGGGGCATGGGCTTCAACGAGAGCGACCTCAGCCCAGCTGCCACTGCTGCTGGCTGCTGTTGCTGTCCCTTAGCTCACCCTGTTCAGGCAGCGTTCGGCACACACAGAGAGAGGCTGTGAGTGGGACATACATGGCTCCATACCTTTCCATGTTGGGGTTTTCCCCCTAACCTTTGAGATGGTAGTGATGCCATCTCAGCCACCCTACCTCTGCCTGAGGTGTCACCCTTGTGTCCTTGCCAGGTTCTGCTCTGTGCACGTCACGCGGCTTCTCCTGGTGACTGTGCAGTGCCCACAGTAGCCTGAGCTGTAGCTGTGCAAGCACAGGGGCTGTATCAGAGCTGGTGTTTGGGGCCTCAGGTGCAGGTGGTTGGCCCTGGCCAGGGATGAGGGAAGTGACAGCTGGGGTTGTGTATGGAGGTTGCAGCTTCCATCATCGGTGGCCTGGTAGCATTTGATCATGGATGCCATCACCACCTGATATCATTTGATCATGGATGACATCCCCAGGTGTGGTATTAGGACTTGGTACCAGGCTGAACCTCCGCTTGCACTTCTGTCTAATGGGCTGCAGCCACCAGCTGGGATAAGGGTCTCTGCAGGTCCACAGGAGCCAGCCTTGCCCCGTTCCCTCCTCCATGTGGGGTGTGACGCTGCTCTGCTCCCAGGTCTGGAGCTGCGCTGTTACGTCGTGCTCTCTGCAGCCGGCCAGCGGTATGAGTGACTGCTGCGATGTTTGAGGAACTGTGACGTGGTGGATGATGGTGCCGAAAGTCGTGTTAGCTGTTTGAGGGGGTGTTTACAAAACCTGACAATGTTTCTTTACCTGACAGTGCAACCTTACTGCTAGCATCATGAAGACATCAACTGTGAATCTTTCTCTCTAGCTTGAACATAAACAAAACAAAGTATGCATATCACAAAGCATTATAACACATAACAACTTCAGACATATAAAAGTGGGTTTTTCTGGTGCTTAATACTTGCTCTTCAGTGACAGCAATGTTCACATTTGTGTGTTTTCTAGCAGATATATAAAATATATTTGTCTCACCTTGGTATAATCTATGCAAACATCAGTAATCTATATAAACTCCAGTAGCTGGTAATGACAGGGGATGGCACCAGAACTGATCATCCATAGAGTTATTCTATTGTAAGTTAATTCATTCAGCAAAGCAAATATCTTATTCTAATTTATTAGCTTATATTCCAGCCATCAAGGCACTATTTCTCTGTGGTCTTTCAATTGCCTTTGTTCTTTATTTGCTTGATATCCATCAGTTCCATCTTTTTTCCACTAGTAAACAAATTTTCTTTATATTTGGCATAAATAAGCAAGCAGTAATGCCAGGGTGACATTCTAGTGCAGCAAAATGACAGCTACTGAAATCCTCATGTTTTCTAGGCTTTTCTAGGTTTTTCTTGCTGCAGACATCTTTTAACATTGCTCCTTAAGGCTTTGCTGCATCTTGGACAGAAAAAGAGATTCTTAATGGCTAGGGTGTTTAATACTATTAAAAATTGGTGTCTTTACCTTTCTTTCTTTCCCTTTAAGAGATGTCAATTTAAAATTGATTAAGGATTACGCTTATCAGTTACCAATTAAGCTTTTTAGTTAACCATCTGCATTTGAACCCCTATGTAAATTGCCTTGGTTAAGACACAGTTACTAGACAGGTATAAATCTCCTCTAACAGCTATCTGTACAATCTGAGATTGTTACTTCTGTCCCAGTTCAGTCACAATATTTTATTATTTATTACTCACCTGTCCTAGATTCTTTCCATACTTACACAGTTGCTTGACAGGACTTACTGGAGTCAAGAGTAATGTCAAAGATGAGTTGCTGCCCTTCAAATTCTCGTTCCGTGGTGGACCACCCTTTGAAACAACCCAACAAAACCCGTCAAGACAGTTATTACATTTTTGAGCTCATTTTTCCCAAAGCTTGAACTAAGAATGATGAAATCTCATCTAAGGTGGGTTTGTTCTTTTCTGGTTTGGTATTTCTGTGTGCTACACTGTAGGGCTGACAATTTTCATGGTTACAGCTGGATCTTGCCCTTTCCTGGAAAGCCTCTGTGGGGTTTCACTGAAGCACTGGCACGCAGCCTCCCCTCCTGCACTGCATGCTTTGTAGTTTTGGGGCTTTCCAAGTCCCCTGCCTTTCCCCTCTCCACTGCTCTCCCCTCCTCCCCCCCTTTTATTTGTTTAAGTTGCAATTTTTTTTTATTTGAACATGTAGCTATTGAATATTTAATATTTTTAGCTGATATTCATCTAGTACTTCATTATCAACACACTATGACTGAGGCGTCTTATTTCTTGGCCAGTCATTGCCATGTGAGAAGAGGATCCGTGTACGACAGGGACAGAACATAAACCATTAGAGTGACTGGAAGTTTTTCATCCCATTCTTTTCCTGTGCTGCTGGACATCTCTCCCAAGGCTTCCTTTAATGTTCAGTTCTCTCTGCCCACTGAGTGGGAAGTTTGGGAATGTCTTTTTATGTGAAATCATTGCTTGACTCCTAAAACGTCATTCCATTTTGGGGCAGCTGCTCTATCTTTGTGCCTCTGTGTGTCTCATGGCTCTTAGGGCTGCAGCCTTTGCTAATGCATCCATTTTGTTACCTCCGTCCCCTCTTTTTGTCTGATTTTTGGTGGACTTCCACATGCATTACTTGTTTACCACCATTTCTTTTCCTTAGGGTTTGGGCCACTTGTTCCCAGAAAGCAACATGTAGTATTAGCTTGCCATCTCCTGAACATGCCCCTTTGTTTTCCCATGTTGGCAGCCAGACAGCAATAGCTTGGCAAATCAATGAAAATAGCAAGTAGTTTCTCCCAGTCCTCATTTTATAGTATTTCTTTAGCAGCCCAAGTTTCAGCTGCTTGAGCTGAATTGAGGAGTTCTTTCACTTCTGTGTATGTTTTCGTGCTTATCCAAGTAGCTGCAAATCCTCTCACAGGTTCCCCATATTTACAGTAACTGGATCCATCAGTAAACAGTATTAGCCATTTTTCTTCCCTCCTTTTTTTTTTTTTTTTTTTAAAGTCTGAGTCTGGATTTAACAACGAAATTTGTTTCCTGGTCATTTCATGTTCAGATCCTCATCTTTGGTAGAGGTGTAAACACCTTTGCTCTCCCCAGTGTTTTCCCCTGTCTAGTTAAGGCTGGTGTCTGCAGCACTAGCTGCGGTTGTCTACCTGCTTTCTGGAGCTTTCCCAGCCCTGTGCCTTTGACAGGTCTGTGATGGGGGTGACTTCCCTGTGTCCCCTGGCCTGTGCGTGCTCCTCCATGCTGTGCGAGAGCCGGCTGCAGGGCTGTCAGAGCTCTTGCCCTGCACATAGTTTTGTCTTTTGCATCAAGATCACCCCCACTTTGTCAGTGGTGGGTCACCGAATATGCAACGGGTCTCCTATGCTGGGGCATGCTGGTGCAGGAGCCTGATCAAAATCTTCCTTCAGCTACCTTGGTGCTCCTGCCTGGTCGAGGCCCCATGGACACCATCTCTCCTCCTTGAGGGACATGGTCAGCATCTGGCTTTTGCCTGCTACTGTTGGAATAAAACTTCTGGAAAGTTAAATCTTCTTTGCAAGGCCGATAATCCTGATATGATTGGGCATGCGTGTGTGTTTCAATGAGCTCTACCTGTTGTTTATCAGCAGCCTTTCCTCTTGCCCAGCTCTTAAATTTCCCCCTGTACCAGTTGGGTATTTGTTCACCTCAACTGGAGCCTAGTTTCCTCTTACCTGCAGCACTCTCTCTTTATTTGCTCTCGTGGCCTCACAAGAGGGTCCGTGGACCACCATCTACAGAAGATGTAACTGAAGCTTGGCTGTTTTCTAAGAACTTCTCCACATTTCCATAACACACACAGGTCCGGTTGCCAGAGCATTACAATGCCTATAAAGCACTGGCTGCCCCATCTGAGTATGGAAAAATCCTAAAGTCTGTGTTTCTACTTCATGTCCAATACAGGTCAGGGCTGCTTTGCTTTGGTGGCTCTCTGGGGTCCCCAAGGGGCTCTTACACTGAGCCAGCTGAGGATCCTGCACCATTTTGGAACTATGTGTATTCACTTCATTGTGATCAGTGCTCTAGTTGCTGGTTGCCCCCATAAAGTATGGACGGGTCTGGGGAGAAGCAGCTGGAGGTTTTGAGGAGGTGGGCATCCCTACTGTGCAGAATCAGGTCTGTCTGGGCCAGGCTTTACTGCTTGTTCCTTTTCCAGCTCTTGTGGTTTAGTTAATCTGGGTTGTTGTTCTTAAAAGGCACTAAAGGGCGCCCCTCTTGCAGCATTCATGTTTTCTCCTTCAGTCCTCAGCTCCATGACCTGCTGAAGTTCCTTATTCTGTCTCTGTCTCGGTACGCCAGTAAAATCACTGGCCTTTGCCTCAACTTTGAAATACTGGCTTTTCTCCTTTAACCTTGTTTTCTATGGAGCAAACAAAAAATGTTACTGCTTGGACTGTTTCACACACCCTCTTCTTCTTTCTCTTTACATTTTCTATCTATCTGTGCCTGGTAAAATTGTTCTGCCTGAATGACTTTCCTCTTAAGCTAGAGCTGAGTCAAATGCTGTTGATTTATGGGTTCGGTAATCGCCCTAGCAGCTGGTACCAATCCATCCATCATTGCAGGTTTAATTTTGAACCTCAGCGTTAGGTTGCTGTCTTGGTCCCTCCTGCATGAAATCTGATCTTATATTCAGTACCTGCTTTCTTGATTAAAAAAAATCATTCTGGTCCTTCCTCATCTTTCTCTTCTTCCAAACCAAGCAGCCACACCACAGTTAGGGAGAGCAGCAGTGCCTCCTCAGTCCTCTGCAGCAGGCCCTGGCATTCTCCCCCAGCTTCTTCCCCTGGTGCTGCTCACACTGGGATGAGGTTGGATGGCTCAAACCCTCTCCTGCATCCCTTCAGCAGCAGCTGTGTGCCAGCGGTGACTGGGGACACGAGGAGGGTTGGAGGTACAGTACTTTGCCAAGGAGCGGCCAGAGGGGAGGGACAGGTGTTTATCCAGTAACCTGGTGACTCCACACGAGCCAGCCTGGGATCGGACTGGCCAGCCCCCTCCCCAGCCCAGGGGTCAATATCTCCCCCCAGAAACCCCTCTTGGATGGCTGCAGCCACTGCCTACTGCTGCATGACTCTTCCAAAGACTGTTGTCCTCTGGCAAACCAAAGAATCAGACCCATGATGCTGAGTCTTTTTTGCCGTTGTCCTCACAGGTGCCCTTTGCTGATCTGGGTCCTGATCTCAAGTTTCTGCTGTATAAGCTTTTGCAAGCTGTCCATCGCAACCTGCCTGGGCTCACTCTGCCAATGGTGTGGGTGGCAGGCTCTCTGCTGCAGAGGCACACACAAGCATCCTGGCTTGTAGCAAGAACAGTGTGGCCAGCAGGAGCAGGGAGGTGATTGTCCCGCTGTGCTTCACACTGGTGAGGCCACCCCTCGAATACTGTGTTCAGTTTTTGGCCCCTCACTACAGGAAAGACATTGTGTTGCTGGAGCATGTCCAGAGGAGAGCAACGAAGCTGGTGAGGGGTCTGGAGCACAAGT